CCAGATGGGACCTCAGAGCCCTCCCGCGTAGGTCAGCCTTAGAGTGTCACGCTTGACTGCTGTGTCTCTGACCAGCTCCCATGAACTCTTTGAATCACTAAGTAGTTATAAAACAACTTATAAAGCACTAACGGTAGGTGTCTATCAGTAGCATTATACTAGTTACTAGGGATGCTAGTGGGTCTTGCCCTTAAAAGCTATCAGTGTACAGGCTAGCAGGTAGTATGGTGGTTAAGGTGGCTGGATCCCACATGGCTGACTACACAGTTCAAATCTCAGAACTGGTGACTAGAAAAACACGCTGGATGGGACCAGCAGATAGCGTAATGGTTATGTCATTAGACTACCACATAGTTGACCATGGTTTGAGTCCCAGACCTGGTGGCTTAAAACCCATGCCAGGTGTGTGCATATCCAAAAAGTCCTGTGAGGAGAATGGAAGAGAAGGGATTGTGCCATGGTCATCTCCCCAGGGGGTGATTTCGCACTTTCTGTTTCTCCAGCAAGTGTACATGTGCTATAGCAAAAATCTCCCTCTCAAAAAAAAAAAAAAAAAAAAAAAAAAAAAAAAAAAAAAAAAGAATGAAAAAGAAAAAGACACTGGGCACGTGTGCATGCATACCCAAAATTTTGAGATGAGAGTGGAGGAGAAGGGTTGTGGTATGGCCATCCCCTCTGGGGGGTGGTTTCTTTCTCTCTGTGTCTGTCTTTCTCTCCCTGGCAGTGCACATGCCCTACAGCAGAAAACTAAAAACAAAAAACCAAAAATGAGCTAGCAGTCTAAGGGGCTGGACGGTGGCATAGCCATCAAATGCGAGTTCTGCAGGAAGGTTCCTGGTTCAAGTCTGGAGACCTCTCTGAATATGCTAGGTGTATGCTTGCCCATGACCTGGGGCTGGCTGAAGGTGGGGGTGAATCGTGGTGTTGAGATTCTGTTGGGAATGCTGACTCTCGCTCTCTCTACCTTTCTCACTCACAGGAGAAATAAATAAACTCTCACTCATGGAAGAAATACATAAATGAACTTTAAAGAAAAAGCTGTGGGCCATGCTGTGGCATGTTGGTTGAGGTGTCTGGGTCCCACATGGCCAATTGCGTGGTTTGAGACCCAGACCTACAGCTTGAAGAACATGCGGGGCACATGTGTGTGACCACAATCCTGAGAGGAGGGAGAGGTGGAGAAGGGAGTGCAGCATGACCACGCCCCACGGGCAGTGCTTTTTCACTTTCTCTCCCTGTCTCTCTATGTGAGCGCATGCGCCTTCTAGCAAAAGTTAAAAAAATAAGAAGAAACAAAGAAACTGTAAAAAGAAAAAAACCTTGCAGTCTAATGGAGAGCAAAGTCTAGTGAGGAGGCCATGCTGGGAGAGACTGCGGTGAGAGGGGAGGCACCGGGTGTGTGAGCATGA